GATGGACACCGATTTTGTCTAATAGCCATGCCGACCTGTGGGAAGACGAGCCAATCATCGTTGTAGAACGGCGAGACGTAGTTGCTTAATGGCGGGAGGCCGACAACTGGGTGATTTGACTGACGTCCAATAATCCAATCGACTGTGCCAATGCCTTCAGGGTTGACCAATAATGATTCGTAAAGGGATAGACCCACCACATCTGTGACGTCAGTCGACACCCTCATGGTTGGCAGACGTGCAGGGACGGGCTTTATTGGCGGTCGCAACAACCATTAGCAAGGCCAACACTCACCATATGAACCAATCGTGAGGGAGGGGGCGAGACCAGATCATCAAGTTAGTTTGAAAGGCAGAGGGCGGGTCCGGCTGTCAACGGTGGGGTTTCCCGAAGTGATTAACAGGGCCCTTTCCCACAATCCACTGAGGCTCTCTAATGATGCTCAATTAGGGTCAAGAGTAGGGTCATTGTCTTTAACCCACTCTTGACCAAAACTAGGGCTTTGATTAACTCAGTTTTCCAACATGGCATCTGTTAAATCTCTCTATTTCATTTGGGGGCATCTTTCTCTGGAAAGTTAAGTCCGCTTAGGGGTCTTGACTGAAACTTGTGAGGTGATTCATTTTGGAAGGACTTAACAAGGTAAGGGGATAATGATGGATGGTCAGACCTGGGAGCACACGACCAACTGGAAGAGGAGCAGGCCATTCAGTGAGATCATGGGTGAGCACCGGATTCGAAAAGTTAACTGTTTTCTCTCCACAGATGCTGCCAGACCTGATGAGTTTCTCTAGCATTTTCTGTTTGTGTGTTCCATATACATGCTTTTAGCCCATACACTGTAATACCTTTGCTTATCAAAAAATTGCTCATCTCAGATTTAAAATTAACAACTGATCTAGCATCAACTGCCTAGGAAGCATCAAGGATCAGAGGGGCCTTAGTGTTCCTAAGACCATAAGAAATAGGAACAAGAGTGATGTAATCTATGTGGACTTCAGTAAGGCATTCAACAAGGTTCCTCATGGTAGACTGGTTAGCAAGGTTAGATCACATGGAATACAAGGGGAACTACCTATCTGGATACAGAACTGGCTCCTGTGGAAGACAGAGGGTGATGGTACAGGGTTGCTTTTCAGACTGTGACCAGCAGTGTGCTACAGGGATTGGTGCTGGGTCACTACTTCTCATCATTTTCATATAAATGGTTTGGATATGAACATAAGAGATATGGTTTTCAGGTGATACCAAAATTGGAGGTGTAGTAGACAGTGAAGAAGGTTACCTCAACAGTACAACAGGATCTCGATCAGACGGGCCAAAGGGCCGAGGAGTGGCAGATGGAGTACAATTTAGATAAATATGAGATGCTGCATTTTGGAAAGGCATATCAGGGCAGGACCTGTACACTTAATCGTAGTGTTCCTGAACAAAGAGACCGTGGAGTGCATGTGCAGAGCTCCTTGAAAGTGGAGTCACAGGTAGACAGGGTGGTGAAGAAGGTGTTTGGTATCCTTGCCTTTATTGGTCAGTGCACTGTATATAGGAGTTGGGAGGTCATTTTGCGGCTGTACAGGACATAGGTTAGGCCACTTTTGGAATACTGCGTTCAATTCTGGCCTCCCTGCTGTAGGAAGGATGTTGTGAAACTTGAAAGGGTTCAGAAAAGATTTACAAGGATGTCGCCAGGATTGGAGAGTTTGAATAGGCTGGTGCTATTTTCCCTGGAGCGTCTGAGGCCGAGGGGTGACCTTATAGATGTTTATAAAATCATGAGGGGCCTCGATAGGGTAAATGGGCAAGGTCTTTTCCCCAGGGTGAGGTAGTCCAAAACTAGAAGATGTAGATTGAAGGTAAGAGGGGAAAGATATAAAAGGGACCCAAGGTGCAGCTTGTTCATGCAGAGGGTGGTGCGTGTATGGAATGAGCTGCCAGAGGGAGCGGTGGAGGCTGGTATAATTACAATATTTAAAAGGCATCTGGATGGGTATATGAATGGAAAAGGTTTAGATGGATATGGGCCAAATGGGACAAGATTATTGAGGATATTTGGTCGGCATAGATGAGTTGGATCGAAGGGTTTGTTTCTGTGCTGCACGTCTCCATGATTCAATAACTCTAAGAGTAGATGATTCAGCCCCTCAAGCTGCTCCGCCATTCAGTAAGATCATGGTTGATCCGACATTCCTCATGTCCTGTATTTTCCCTATTCCCTTCGATTCCCCAACTGATCAACAATATATCGCGGCCTTAACTACACACAAGGACTCTGTCCCCACAGCTCTCTGTGGCACGGAGTTCCAAAGACATTCAACTCTCTGTGAGAAGTTCCTCCTCATCTCAGTCTTAAATTGGTACCCCTTAATTCTAAGCCAATGCCCTCCAGTCCTAGACTCTCCCATGAGGGGAAACATCCTCTCAGCATCTACCCTGACCAGCCCCTTAACAATCCTATGTATCAGTGAGATCACCTCTCATGCTTCTAAACTCCAATCAGTAGAGTCCCAACCTGTTTGGCCTTTGTTCATAAGACAATCTCACCACACCAGCGAACCTTCTCTGAACTGCCTCCAATGAATTATTTTATTTACTTAAATAAGGGGACCAAAGCTGCTCACAGTATTTGACATGCGGTCTCACTGCATGAGGGAATTTACTGTGAGCTGGGTTTCTACATTACACATCAAAAGTATTTCATAATCAAGCACTTTGAGACATCCAGTGGTCGTGAAAAGCACTATATAAATGCAAGTATTGCTTTCATTTATGCCAGAGAAGAATAAAGTATGATCTCATTGAAATATATAAAATGCTGAATAGCTTGTCATCATAGAGACTTAAAGACTACTTCTGGCCTGTGGAGAATGAACAACTCAAGATCACAGACTCAATGTATGAAGGTGGCCTTTTAGAACTGAGCTGGGATGAAATTGCTTCTTTGGGGATTATGAATAGTTTGGAATTCTGTACTCAGAAGGTTGTAAATGCTCAATTGTTGAATTGTTAAGACTGAAATTTTGACATGAGGGGAACCAAAGATATGGGAACAGGACAGGAAAGACACGACCTGGTGTAGATTAGCCATAATCTTACTTAGTGGTGAAGCATTGTGGATATGCCTTCAGCTTTGGAATGACCTCCTTACAGGTCTCCAAGATGTTCTTTAAAACCTACCTCTTCAAGTTTTTTGTCATCTGATTCAACATCTCATGATGTGGCTGTGTCTTGTTTTATAAAATTCCTGCGAAATCCTTGGGATTTAATGCTTATTCATTTAGTCCCCATAACCCTTGACTCACCTGCTAATTAAAAATCTCTCTTACCTATTGGTGGTGGAACATTTCTCCTTATTTATGCTGGGCAAAAGTCAAATTTTGAATCTATTAAATTTCCTACTTTATAATCATTTGATTCTTCCAACATTCTCAACTGTTCATCAGGCAGGGATATTTTACTGCAGTCTCGGAGTTTGTGACTACTACAGTGTTATCATGAGATATGGATGTCACTGGGTAAGACAGCATTTATTCACCTTCCTAATTGTGCACAGGGCATTTTAGAATCAACCACGTTGCTGTGGGTCTGGAGTCACATTTGGCCAGACCAAGCAAGGGAGGCAGACTTTCTCTCCTAAAGGATATTAACAAATCACATCAGGTTTCTAATAATCTAATAGTTTCAATATTAATAATACTAGCTTTCCAACACAGATTTAATTAATTGAAGTTAATTTTTTTAAGATTTGGATCCAAAGAGGCTCTGGATTACTAGTCCAGTGACAATATTACTACACCACTACTCCACCCACCACCCCCCCACCAAACCATAATGTCATGTATCATCTGTACAGCTCCATGTTCCTTGATATCCTTAAAAAAAAATTATCAATCTTAGTCCCAATCAATATCCAGCCTCAACAGCTATTCAGGGAGCGAATGCTGGATTTCCAGGATCTTTTGTGGTGCTTGCTGACATTGTCCCAGTTCAAATATTAAGGTCTTACCCCATGGTCTGGACTCCACTCCCCTTGCCAGAGTTAATAGTTCAATTCAACATACCCCGCTGAATCCTTTTAACATTTTAAGCACATGGCATGTCCTGTTGCATCATTGGCTTGTCAAGGTGAAACAAAAACTATACACAAGTGGCTGCCTAATGGAACTGCAGACAGCCAGGTTTTAGTTTCTGCTGTCATAGTTACCGGCCCAGTTTCCATCCATTTTTGGCAGTAGCAAAACATTAAAAGCAGCTTGACCCTGCATCTGTTCTCTTACTTTCTGAACTATGTACTCTTAACGTTAATCTTTTTTTCTTTAAGTCACTTTTTTACAAGGCTTTTATGCTTTTATTCTTGGGATGCAGGTGTTGCTGGTTGTGCCAGCAGTCACTGCGCATCCCTAAATGACCAGTGAGTTAAAAATGAACCACATTGCTATGAAGGTCAGACCAGCTAAGGATGGCAGATTTCCTTCCCTAAAGGACATCAGTGAACCACCTGGGCTTTTACAACAAGAGACAAGTTTCTTTTAAATTCTAATTCTTTTTAAATTGAAATTAGATTTTGCTATCTGCCAGGGCGGATTCAAACCCATGTCGCCATCACTTTAGTTTGGAAGGATTACTAGTCTAATGACATTACCACCCCTTCCCGGACCAAACGCTTCCTTGTGGCTGTGCCAAATATTGGCTCTTGAGAAGTGTTTAGTGAAGTTTTATTGCTTTAAAAGCAACTGCTGACAAGCAGTGTGGAAAGTGCAAATGCTTCAAGCAATCTGCCCTCTTCTTAACAAACACAAAAGTCAACGAGAGGCAAATAAAACATCAGTATAAAGAATAAAACGGATGGCATAGGCTCAGACTTGCTGGCAATGCTTTTCACAAGGCATTTCAAGCCATCAACATTTGAAACCTAATAAATTTGGAACTAATAGATCTGAGAAAATCCCATTCCTGAGATAAGTTCAGTTGTCAAACTCCACAGAATAACAGGACAGGCTCATTAAAAGCTTACATTTACGAATTTATTTAAAAATTCCCTGATATATAGAAAAAAACCAAAAAAGTTACTCCAAACATAATAGAAAGCTAAAAACACAGCGACAGGCAGGTTCTGTTTACAAAGATCCATATTTACAAACTGAGCTTTCCCCATTTCACAGTGATGTTTTATCACTGAAGTGAGGAATCCTTTACATCTCAAAACATCTAAACATCTAATAAACTATTCCAAAAAGTACAGTGATGCTAAAACACCATACGTGTTAACAAACCTGCCATTACATTGATTCTTAAGGAAACACAATTACACATAAACTGGTGCACCAGATACATGATAAGAGTACATATTAAAACATTATCTTATTCAAAATACTTTGAATTGTCTGTACAAAAAGTAGAAGATTTGCAGAGATGAAAATGAACATACCTAGTTGACAATGATATACACGAGATCTGCGTAGTTGAAAAATTAATTTATTTATTGTAGTAGTTACTGTCTTGGTTTATATGCACTGTAAAAATTAATCACCCAAAATACTGGGAAGGTTGAATTTAGAGCTCGCAACTGTTCATCCAGTTCTTGTTGTTTGTGATGGACATATGTCCACTCTTCTTAGAAAATCAGAGAAGAAACCTTTTCTTCACCTCCCCCATTTTTCATTTGGAGGACGGTGTGTTCCATTCCTAGAGATAAACAGTCTCCATCTCTTCATTGCCCGAAGAGAGGGACGTTTGATGGGGTAGTTGCTCAGGTTTTAGGCATTGCCAGCACATCATATAAGTGGCTGTCTAGATGGTGAGTGTTGGTCTGAAGATCTCTCTCACAGCCCAGTCCTGTTCTCACCAAATAGACACCGTGCAGGGGACAACAGGTCTAGTGTATGAGCCCTAGCTGATATAATTATTCCACCCCTTTCTCTCCATTAGACGTGGGTCATGGAGTCTCACTGATGTACCAGCATGTGTCCAAGAACTTGGAACAGACATGGGTCAAACTAGAGAAATGCCTAGTCTGCAAGAGTAGTGGCGTAATGCCAAAGCAACCCTTTGGGAAACTTTGTCTTACATTCTAAAGGAGGGTGCAAGGGAAAAGGTAGAAAGGTTGGTGCTTGTTGGTGGTGGTTGGAGATGGGGAAATGGGGAGAGAGAATGGGAGAAAAGAAATTGAAAAGAAAGAAAAATACACTCCAAGAGCATGGATTTCACAGGCACTGAATCAGCAAGGGTAACAATGTTGCTCTGTTGGCTTGCTTAAGTGACCATTGCTGGAGAGAGTCTGGGCAGCAAGTGATTGGCTACTCAACTGCAGGAGTCATCAACCATGTATTTGCTAACAGACCCTGCTGATAGTAATTGGGATATGAGAAGCCTGCATTATTTCTCTGCATTCCACCCATCTTTTAAATGGCAAACTGAGGAGACAACAAGCTGCCTTCTGTTAACTTAGAGCAGCCCAAACATGGAGTTTTCCTAATCTACTTAGCTGATCACTGATGTAAGCACTTGACCAGTGGGGAAGCCATATCTGATGGTGACAGCCATCAGCAAATTGACTGCAAAGAAACTGGCAGGTCGTAAGCTGGGTGGGTTGCGGAGACGGGGGCTGGTGTGTGTTGTTGGAGAGAGTATAGAGAGGATGTGTCTTCAAAGAGGACACTGTGGGGGAGCCTCTATGCAGGTTTTCCCCCTGCAAGAGGACTGTGAAGTACAACATAAGTGGAACTTGAGTAGGACATCCTTCTTCCTACTCCATAATCCCTAGTCAGACAGAAACAAACTTACATAGCATCACATCCAGTTAGGTCTGAAGTACATAAATACCGCAAAGTCAGAGAGCAGATGGTATTTATAAAAAGACAAAGAAACATCGTCAACTCGATTATATAAAAAGAGGTTCTTTATCTAATCTATATATTTATTTAAAATATTTAAATCTTCACCACGGATATTTGTTTTTGCACAATCGTACCATGCGCGTCCTAACGTGATACCTACCAAGATTAATATTTGTTGCATTTAGTCTCAAGGTATCAAAGCATTCAAGGGCTAAATTTGTTGTTTAAACACTTCTCCAGCTAAACACCACTGTTTTGAAAATTTATACCACATAATTTTAGGGCACAAGCCATCATTCCCAAAACTCTGCCCAGTTTGACAAATGTCCTGGTTGAGATGAGCTAATCAGCCCGGAGGATGTGCCCTGATCTACTCCAGAGGTCAGGACATTTCTTGGAAACATACTACATGTGGAATCTCAGAAGCACACAGTTCAAATTCTGCAAAAGCTGCCATCAACTTAGATGTTACTGGTGTTCAAAAGCAACAGAAGACTTATCAGTAACTAGTATAACTACTTTGAAGTGATATTATTTGTGCTGCTCTCAGCTTATATCCTTATATGTGTGGTATAAAGAATAGCTTATATATAAAACTTCTAAAAACCTCATCTTTATAACTTCTCCTTTTTTATTTGAAAGAGAAGAGGGGGGGCGAGAAGTGTTTAAACAAAAATGGTCAATTTGTTACAGCTACAAGATCCACTGGTCAAATATTGAAATTATACCAGGATACAAAATAGCCTAAAGAGAAATCAGCTTTAACAATTGATGCACAATCAGCATATTGGTGACCCTGTGACATTCAGTATAATACAAAGCCAAAACATCTCCCCTTTGACAGCATTCCCATATTGGCCATCCTGGCATAAGTTTCTGTAGACAAGTTCAGATGGTTGCCCCTTTGCTGCTGACCATGTGAGGCCAATAGTAGGCATGCATCACCTCAATACCGCAGAATGCAAGAAATCTTGCTTCCCAGTGCTTTTGGACAACTCAGCTGCTGTTAGCTGTGTCTGTGTTGCTTTTTAGAAGGTGCTTATAGATTAACTGATCATATTTTGGAAGGTGGTGGGTGACTAGAGCAGGGAAAACTGATACTGCTGCCACCAAAATCTGTCCATCTTATCTGCTGGGAGCAGTGATTAGAATGGGGAGCCCCGATGGATCGTGCATGCACTGATGGTAACTCAGGATATTGAGGTGGATTACAACTACACCACTTTTGCCTGGCAGTTGACTGAGATGGGGGCCCTTCGTCCTTTGGATAACTGATTGCTGCATTTGGACTATTGGGCATAGGGCAATGCTTGCTGGATGGAATCATAAAATGGATGAAATTATATCATCCTCTCCTACATCAATTTATCTTTGGATGTGGATCTGAGAACACTGGTTGAGAAAGGTCACCTTGAAGAAGTCTTCCCTCACATGCCTGGAAAAGGCAGGAAAGATAAGGTGGGGGGAAGAGAACAAGTCTGCCAAGCGAAGCTTTGCTTGCCAGCCAATAAAAGTGACCAAGGGTGGGTCATACTTTAGTATGGACTTTGATCAAAAACGAGTGGCCTTTTGTCTGCTGGGATTTGCAAACTAGGGTCAAAAGTGAAGAAAGGACACTGAGCAATGGAGTGTGCAGCGCTCCTGGAAGTTGTGTGTCAGTGAAAGCCAGACCTCTTCAGGAGAGTAGGGAAACAGAATTTTAAAAAAGCGAAGCCTTAAGTTGTTCTACAGCACTTAATAAAATTATTGCCCAGATTTCTGTCAAGGTTGATTAAAGTTACCAGGCAAAAAACCAAGATGGTTATTGGCCAGTTGAACTGTAGGACAGTTCAATATATTGTATACATGTATGTATATACGTGCATGTTACTATGTTGTAATATGTCTACAAGAGCCTAATGTGATGAAGGAAGTTGCTAATTTATAAATTACAAAGGCCAGAGGGTCAGGAGTAGGGGATTAGCTCAGTTAATTATCTCACTGAATAAAATATACAATAATTTCTTAAAAGAAACACAAGCTGTACAACATATTGTTAGCGTTAACAACACAACCCTAAATTTACATAAATGGTCTCTGACAGTAGGCAATCAGAATGCAAAACGGCAGGTTAAGCTCACTGGTCAGTCAGAGAGAGTACAGTGGTTAAAAGAATGGCAGAAGAATTTGATGCCCAGGACAGTTGAGAATTATTTTGTCAAATTAAACAAAAAAATTCCATTTAGAAATGTGACTTACATTTGAAGAAACTAGTAGATCTCGAATGATCTTATGGAGCAAGGAGGCACTAGCCTGGTCACACAAGGAAGTCTGGTATTTCCACGCCAGTCATTGTTTTAAAAAGGGGGAAATTTCTAAATTATGTCCTCAATGAACATAAACAGAGGATCCCTTTTTGCTGTTTCGCTAATGCTGCTTGATATGGACTTACTAAATTGCTAAAAAAACTGATAGTTTAAATAAAAATTATCGTGCTCATCTAGAGAATGCTCTGAGGCTTTAGATATGCTAAAATAAACAAAATAAATCAAGACAAGAGGAACACTACTGAAAAAAAAAGGAATTTGCCGAAGATTTTTGTCTTGCACCAGGACAATTCACAAGAATATCAATTCAGGGGGAAAATCAAAGTTTATATTGCATGAGTGTGTTGGTGTTCCCCTTGAATTGATGCTCTTGCAAATTGTCCTGACTAGTGTAAGGCAAAAAACTTTGACAAACTGTGTAGTTTTTCAGCAATATTCAAGTTCTGTACAACCGAATGTCAACAGGAAGGGCTTAACTTTTGTTTTAACTGTTTAACCACTTACCTCAGTTTCTGCCCAATTGCCTGCTCTTTCCAACAACCTCAGCTAGTACACATTGGCACTAATATTACCTCCTCCAGCCACCGACTGTGACCCTTTCCACACCTCCAATACTGGAGCCCCCACTCCCCCCATCATCACAGCTACTCTATCAGGACGAGAGTATCCCATATGGAATCCCAAATGCATGAGATGACTTCCACCTTTAATGCTCATTCCTATTTGCCCATTTAAAGGGAGTAGTAGTCCAGGAATTCAATCTGCTTACTTCTTGTATGTTGCCAACTTTCTTCCCAGTTTTCCTGATGCCTGCAATGGTCAATCAACCAATACCTTCCTCTGAGGGGGAATTCTTAATGTGTCAAAAGATTTGCTTGCCCATGATATGATCTCAGGGCAAATGTATTGATGTAGTCTCTCATGCATGCACGTCCTATTGAATTTAGACCCAGAACAGGAGTCCTGGCTGTTCCGGATCACCTCATCTCACTCAAATGGATATGAATTTATTAAGATCAGCATTCAGACTTGGATTAAACTCAGGGCTTCACAAAAAGGATCACTCTAGGACTAAGTTATGAGGTTACAGTACATGACTGATCATAGAGGAGTTGAATCAGTGTTAAGCGTAAACGAGTACACTCTTTCTAACTGGGATCAATGAAGAGATATCAGGAACTGATTTTTGTTTCTTCTTCCTTCAGTGATACTTAGGGCGTTTATAATGCACCAGTCGCTGCTCTAGACAAGCCATTGGCGACTTGGATTAAAACTGAAATCCTATTGTCCTACAACTCAGTACTGTAACACCTATCCAGCTATTAGGTTGTTAAGGCAGATGCCAACTCCTGCTTAAAAAGCGCTGTAGGTCCATGCTAAAATCATTTTTTGGTCGATGTTTTTGCATTAGATGGTTTCCATTATTACATGGTCAGAAATCACACGACACTGGGTTATTGTCCAACAGGTTTATTTGAAAGCTTTCGGAGCCTCGTTCCTTCTTCAGGTGTTAGGTATAACGCCTGAAGGAGGAGCAAGCTTCCGAAAGCTTGTGTTTTCAAATAAACCTGTTGGACTACAAACCGGTGTCCTGTGATTTCTGACCTTGTCCACCGCAGTCCAACACCGGTACCTCCACATTATGTCCATTACTGGACGTTAGATCCCTCATTAAATGGCCACAGCTGCTGGTAGTGTGTGTCAGGGCATGTTTCGCTGACTACATCAGGAAAAGATGAGGCCAGTGGGGAAAAGGAGGAGTGGGAAGAAGGAATTTGGCCAGTGGATTAGCTTTGTGGGAATTTGCTCACTACATGATTGAGGTGGCCAAGACCCTCGGCCTTCAAATTTTTAAAATTAAACAAGCAGAGAACTAAGGATTTGTCTTTGGACACAAAATAAAAATACCAAATCAAAAGGAGAATTTACAGCGTTGAGACACTTTTACACCTCTTGTGCAGTATAATTCTATGATGTGCGCTCTCAGAGTTTGAATCATGATGATGGGAAGAGGAGGAGTAATAGGAGAAGTCAAGCCATTCCTCCTTGTGGAGGTCAGACTGTACGAGAATGATGGTCTATTTGTTTGCCACAATTGAGACGCCTGGTGAGACAGCCTGAAAGCTGAAGGAAGACATTCAGGTGAACCTTTTGGCAGGAAGGAAGCAAGCCAATTTAGCCAAACTACAATCTCTTGGATGCTGCTGTCAGCTTCCGCAGCCACTACTTTATAGATGGACACAGTCAACAAAGGATCCCATGATCCTGACGCCCACTTATACTGCAGGCTCAGCCATTTTGTAAAAGTTACCACTGAACACTGCTAATGCCATAAATAGCACCACCAAGCCACTGAACGTATCAATACTATTTATAAATGTACAAAATTAACATCCCCGCCCCCAGTTACTACTTCATTCATTCAGAGCTTGAGCAGTTTTGAAGTGCCGCTTCCATTTCCATGGCAACCTACATCAGTAGGGATGACAGCAGGGACAAGCATTCAATGCCAATATGATAATGTGGACATGGGGTAGGGGAAGTAAGAACGTACAAAGGGATGGGGAAGGGAGTGAAATCCCCTCGTCCATTTCCCCCCAAAAGGAAATTGTTCAAGTCACTTGAGAAACAGGCTAATTGAGAATACAGAGTTTAGCAAAGTACAAACATACTTTTCAATGAAAAGGATTGGCAACTGGAGAACAGGATAAGCCCACCTGACATCCTGCGACCCAAACTGTTCCTTTGCATCAAAATCCTCAGCACCCACAGATGCTGAGATAGGCTCAACACCCAGAGGAAAGCAGGTTAAAGACTGGAAAGCATCCACAGTGCTGCTCACAGATACACTCTCTTGTTCTGTCTCCTGTCTGACCTGACCAACAATGACTGGGAAATGATTTCAAAACCGCTTCTCAGTTGAATTGAGCTGCACTGAGGTTCCACTGCTTTACACATTCAGTTCTGTTCATAGCAGGCTGGCGAGACTAGTGGTGGGTCCATTCTGAGCTTGAAACTGTACAGGAAGAGGCCCATCCGTCCACTGGAAAACAAAATACATTTGGCAAATCAGCGAAGTTCATGAATTCCAACAGCTTCTCTAATGTTACCGTTCATCGGTCCCTCAAATGAGAGCAACATCTGCCAGGCATCTCTAATATATTGATACTGCCACGGAACTGTATTTTAAGAAACCCTTTAATGCTGCTTATTATACTACTTTAACATTTCTCCAATTCTCCTTAAATGGCAGTAAACAACATGCATCATCAATACTGCATCCTAATCCAGTGTTATACAGGTTTAGAGCTATGCCCACCGGTATTGTATCCCAATGCCATAACTATACCACCATGTGTCTCTCTCTCTCTCTCTCTCTCTCTATTTATATGTATATATGCACATGCACACACACATACACAAATAATTAAAAAAGAAACTAATCAGGGTTATGGGTCAGAGATAGTAGGAACTGCAGATGCTGGAGAATCCGAG